TTGAACCACCTGAACTCGGCTGAGAGATTGATACAACATAGCCTACTTTAAGGGCGAGCAAGCGTTAACGCCCCCTGTTGAAACTAACCGAGATGCTGAACCTGACAGGTTCCCAGCATAGTCAACTAGGAATGCGACGAACCGGCCAGCGGCTGATCAAAGCTGCTCCATTCAACACCATACAGACATGGAATTGTAACCACAAACGGTGGTTGTGCACCTCCAACTCCACATTGATAAAGAATCAAGAGACTTTATCCGGAAAGCATGGAGGTTTCGGCTGTGTTGTCCCTACTTCAAAGCCGCCATCAGGCATCATACTGTGGCAAGGAACTGGCCACTTGACAGTCGTATCAATGAAAATAATCTTGACTTCCACACTGGCTGAGGAAGTACTGCAGACATTGCTGCACGTCGTCAAGTCCTCGAACAGCTGCATTCATGTTTGCTTACCTTTATTTGAGAGCCACCTTCGACTCAACTGATCGCAATAAGTTGTGGTGCAGATTATACATGAAGAAAATGACAAGCAAGTTGCTTCAAATTTAAAACCTCCTTACTGTGACCCCTGAGGACTAGCAAGGGTGTAGGGCAATCTGTCTCCTAAACGCCACACTATAGGTGTAGCGAGTCAACTACCGCATCTCACTGAATTTACACACGAACCGAACATTAACGAGTTCATTTCCTACGACTTCTGGAGTTGAGTAGAGTGATTGAAAAGCTCAGGGCACGCCGACGACATCTTTCCTTGGGTCGGTTTCATTCGGTGTGCAAACGATGCTAGATAGGTTGATTAGGAGTTATATACGCTTCAGCATATCCGTCGCACATACAAAGTGCAGGGTACTGCTGCAAGACTAGGCTGACACGACACGGTTCCAAGATGGTACCGAACAGCCACTCAAACTGGTCGATCGATTCGCTTCCGGCGGTCACATCAATACGTCTACCACAAGTAACAATAATGTATGTGGGGTCTACGGAATTCCCAATAAACTATGGTGGGAACCAGCTACCACTCTGCCGATGCAGACGGCCGCGATAATATCGATGTTACTGTATGTGTGAGATATACGTCGAGCGAGCGATGATGACCATATGGCTGGTTATCTTTTATCACTAGTGCTTGTGTGGTATTGCCCACATTGTCTGGGATTACCTGGTGCGCGATACTGAAGTCCACCAGTTTGTGTTGTGAGGAGGACTCTTTGGGTTCATGTTGGAATGTGTGCTAGACTTGGACCGTTCAAACTGACCAGGCTGTCTTCCGCATTGCTGTTGACTTCCTCTTCCGGTTTTATACGCTGTTGCTGAGCCTAGCTGAGAGCAACGGCGGTGTGTTAAGTCGATGATCCAGCTGCGATACGAACGAAGTGACCGAGAGAATTGGTGGGCTGGTAGCTACAGTTTTATTGGATTATGGTATCGAGGTCGGTCTTCTCCGTGACTGGAGACTTTTCCGGTGTGGCATAGCCGAGGGATAAATGGATCACCAACACTCGAGTTCTTACCACTAACCGTTAATTCCCCTATATAGTTAGTTTAATCCACTTTTCCCCGTCGCCCTTTAATTTGGTTTAGCCCCGTTGTCCCACCGCCATTAGCTGTCAGTATGGCGATGCCAGTCATAACAACTGGATCCGGATAATCACACAGCTGTACTGATATGATCGCAATTGTTTTACTATGGAGTTCGTTCCATTATCTTAGGTGGATTATCACTAACCTACTACCAAAACGAACCCATCTTTTACAGGTGCAGTAGTGAGAAGCTTTTGTGTTAACTTGGATAACAGGTGTAGTGCTGCGCGGAGTGTCAGAACGTGTAATTAGCATTTATTCTGCCAGTTGAACGCACCGCGCCTTCGGAGCTGCACTTAGTTGAACCCGAGTGGTCAAAAAGGAAACTACAGATCAATCCAAATAGCTTACAAGGAAGTAGTAGGGTGAATAGAATTATGTACGTAGAAGTTTCTCACACATAGACTCAGTCAGTCAGCCATCACACACCTGGAAAAACGCTCTACAACTATTTCATTCTTTCGGGAATTCTCAGCAGTACGCATTCCATCTGGTTCTGGTAGCGCTCGAACCCGCAACTCGACTATTGCAAGTTTGTGATTAAGACCACTGAGCTACAGGGAAAGACAACGATCTTCACGATTGTTTCCAGATGTGACATAGCGCCGCTCACTATCAATTGACTTGTAGGTTACTGCCGTGAAGATGACAAGGTAGCCCCTTCAAATGGCTTCTCGGGTAACACCACATGCAGTAAAATAACAGTAGAACGAAATGCTGGGGACCACCGAAATTAATTTGTTATAGTGAAATTGTGTTTTACTGAAATAAGTCAGTTCTCAAGAACTCACCTGTTGCTATATCCACCACAGTATCTACATTACTTCTGTAGGAATGTACAAGCAAACAGATCAATATTTATTAGATGAAACGAAAATTTGCGTATATATAAATGAGATGATATGATGTACGGTAATTGCGAGAGATATTTCTGGAATTATTCAGCATATCAACTTTTTACCTTGTACACAATGTCCAGGACTTTTATTTTAGGAAAAGTCTGCGAGTTTCTTCTGCACACTCCCAGACACAGAAGACCGTTCAAGGTAGTCACCGGTCACCGCACATGAATTTAACACCGATTCTGTTATATCACTTCGTGACAGAAGAAAAGCTTGAAAACTAGGTTGCCTGCCGATCACTTTGAGGCACTTCTTGCTCTTCCAGCACGTCATCAAACGGATTTCTCACTCGTAAGGTCTGCCAAAATGTCATTATCAGTGATTTCTTTTCGGACTATCACAACATAGTCCACACTGACGTAGTCAGAAAGTTTCAGGCTAGTTGGCACGTTCAACTGTTCGCACAGCCGCTTCCAGTTCTTCACTGTTTCTGTATCATTCAACACTCCACTTTCTGTGATGTCGTCTTCTGCACGAACCACTCCAGCTTTTCTAAAGGAGTTTGCGATAATTTATTCTTTCAGTGCTTTTCACGCAGCACTGAACATCTGCATTGCTTCCAATATGTTCACATTAATGTCTCTCCGAGGCAATATTGCACAGCATACGCCGGACCACAAGAGCTCGGTAATGCCGCTTTACCGTGTGAATTATCCCCTGATCCAGCGACTGCAGAATCTAAGTAGTGTTTGGGGGCAAGAATAAAAGTTTCACATGCTACAAATGACGCGGCACACAATTAGGGCAGGAACAATTGTTAATTATGAGGAGAATTCTCCTCTTTTCAGCCTTCATCCTATATTCGGACACAACCACTCTTCGAATATCATGGATGTCATCCATGCTTTGGTGTTGTGCCTGTAGTTATGGGGCAGATGTTGTATGCCCTTGAAGCACCTCAACTTCCCGAACTACCCAATTATCTTCAGTTTGTCCGGCCCCGTTGAGTTCGTGCGCAAAAGAACAGTTATTCGTAGTTTTGTACTTTTTCCCCCAAAACATTCATTATTTCCTTTGAATCCAAGCGTTTTGTTCGGCATTAGTTTATAGAATAATGTCGTCTCATCTGCACTATGGATGTCCGCCGGCGAATATTCTTGCAACCCACCTGTTAGGGTCTTCAGAAGCCAAGAAAACGCAATTTCCTTTGGGGATCGTTAGCTACACCATGTATTGTTTTGTGGGAAATACCATATATTTCCCTAAACCTATAATGCCAACCAGTACTTCCCACGAATTTCGCAAAACCAAGCAAACATGTGGAGGATCGCGTATGCTCACATAAGAGTGCGTCTTTTATAGGGATGTTTTTAGCTCGCATTTCAACGAACCACCTATAAACTGCATTATCCACTTCCTCGTAGTCTACTGTCCTCAGCTTCTTTCGCTGTGTACCAAGGGCATAGGCATCAACGTACTGCGCTATGTTACTTTTATGTTTTCAAAAAGTAGATTGCATTGAAGTGCCAATGCCATACCTCTACGCTATCTCTCCTTCTTTCTTTACTTCCAGAAGTACTATGCGTTATTCTTCTTAAGAAAATGGTCGTCGCTGCTTTTTATCCATATTGCCGTTATAAAGTTAACAGTTACACAACTTTACACACTGTGTAACGAATAAAAAGACAAAGAATGAGCGCGCGATGTGACGTACATAAGCAAATTTTATAAGGTAGAGATATGAAATCGTACCGTTTACTGGTGTATTTTAAATGCTGCGCTCCTACTTAGCCAATAGTGTTACATCTTGTATTGGATGATGCGCAAAGCTTATTTAATGGAATAAGTATGGGTTACTTCAGATTGCTGTGCTGCTCGACCGATCGGGCACATGCATGAAAGATGCCTACCAAATCACCTGAGTAATAAAGTAATGTGATAAAAAAATTGTATATTATAACACAGGATGGATTTCAATTATATTTTGAAAATATGAAGTTAGATATAGGCAAAGTGTCGAAATCTTCATTCGTTATACTGAAAGTTCGAAATCCGTTAAACTGAAATGTTTTAACATCCAGTAAATGGGAAAAGGAATGGGCCTAAAATAATTTGGCAATTCTACATATTTCGTTATACTGGCTTTCGTTATAACGAGCTTTTACTCTAGTACGGTGACTTTTGCGTAGAATATTTTATTAAACACGACAAACTAAAGGAAAAAACCTACTTGCAACTAATCTCGACGAGAATCCACAGTGATTTATGGGAAATAAAACATAAAAGTATGCCACTATTCACGACAGCAGCCAAAATGCTACCCTCTTAAAGTATAAGTGGCAAAAATAATAAAGATAAATATCGTTCTGCAACGCTGATTAAAACAACTTCAACCACAGAGCCCGTAACTTGCACTTTCGATAGATACACAGGAGTACTAATTTCGAATCAAATAAGTTAACACCAGATATGAGATGGTCGGAAAATTGAGCCCATGTTCCCGGGGGTATCTGAAAGACAGTTTTACATTGAAATCAAAGTGCTATTATACGTTTTTGAAACATTCTGTTTCAGCACCAAACGGGTTCCTGTCGTAGGGACGTATGCACTACCGAGGCTCGGCAACCAGAACGAGTGTATGGCTCGAGTACATCGGTTGACGGCGGACCAGGGATACCCCCATCTGGAGGAATATGGCGGGAGCTTGTTGAGGATAAGATGGCGGTTAGAGAACAAAACCTCATGCCTGTCGTTGAACGGACAGGAGAAGTATACATCCAGGGCAAGATAATAACTGCTGAACGGCCAAATACGCGCGTTCTACAGCGTACTCAACGAGCGCGTCCTCAAGAGATCAGAGCGAATGGGGAACAGCGTATCATGCTCCCGACCGGTCATAGTGAACAAGCGTATTCTCAAGATGCGACCACAAAGGATGAACAGCTCGTCATAACAATCTCCGGACAAATGCGCCGATCACTTGGCCAAGATGAGGGGTTAACCAGAGAACAAGAGACGATGCCTACTTTTCAACAGTACGTACACGGTGTGGGAAAAACTGCCGAAGCATTCGCCAAACCTACTTCTCGACGAGCGCTTGTGCAAACTGACGTGGTAAAGCGAGAACATGATATTAGCTTCCCTGGACAGATAGAGCAGATGTATGCTCAGGAAGTGACAAACCTTGAGCGGCCCACTATGTCAGCATATGGACAGGTGGCCGAGAATCGTAACGTACGACAGTGGACCAACATGCTTTCTCGTGACAGTGACGATTTTCCAGCCTATATTTATGATCCACCACCACCGCCAGTAATAAGGCAACCCATGGCCGGAACAAGGGGTCGGCAACTTTACATCCCAGAAGACAGTCAATTCCTACTGGAACCTCTGATCGATCAAAGACTGGTCTCCAGATACCTACGAGAACAGTACAACAACCGACCAGATGATACCGATATGCAGTGAAAACACATGAGTAAGCGGTAACTTGTTCACCGCGTTACGTATGATATGTGTCTAATGCAATCAGTACTGACCGGAGGGTGGTGTGATAATATGCGTGGCTCTTGATTCTGAGAGGTTGGTCAGGTGTTAGATAGTAGGCGATTTAAGAGCCAGGCGTAACAGACAAACTAATTCTCAATAACTCTAAAACTAATAATAGAGAATTCGATGGCTTACAGAGGAAAGTTGAGAATTTGTTCATATCTCGCCTTGTGCAAATGCTAACAGTTAACAAAAGCACGAAACCCCGAGATAAATCTTGCATGGCCGTAACAAAAAGTAGAAATGCCCTTCCAATGGAGTATTACATGGAGCAGAGTATATATATATGTATATGTATATAAATATATATATATATATATATATATATATGTGCCCCATGCTGATGTGGCATTCTTGATGCTTCTTCACCGTAGTTGGGCTAAACCAACCTACACTTTAACTAGGTCTCTAAGTTGCATAAATTTCATTCCAGTTTACTTGGTTAGTTTTACCTATCTGAATGGTCTTCTATTAGCTGTCCACGTTGCTTACGCTAATTGCGCTTATCTTCGGTAATTTTGTTGCGTTTGTAGCATGTTTGAGTAACTTGTGGACATTTTTCCCTATCGCGGATTTATTGCTAACCAATTTACTTCAAATGCTAATTTAGCGATGAGTTATGCCACCCTATGTGTATGCATTAATGGATTTATTTTATTTCATTTTGTCGTTTCAAGTGATTGGCTGTTGCGTGCTATCCCCGGTGTGGCTGCGCTTGATGTGCATGTTGACAAGGTGCCTACCTGTCTATTACCCACTACCTCGTCCATACTGGCTCCAGGAGACAGTTGGTCGTTGCTGGAGGGGACGGGGTGCACGGTCTTTGTGGTCGTGTTTGGCTCGAAGAGTGGTTCCATGCACTCAGTGTGGAGTGGTCTACGGTCCAGCCACCACCTTGTGTGTGCTTGATTCCCCAAATACAGCGTGCTTGTGTTTACCTGTGAAGGAGTGTGGGCCGGCTCCGTTGATGAAATGTGGCTTCCATCCACATGCATCCCGGTCTTATTCCTTCGGGTTTACACTGGATATGGGGTGTGTGGATGGAGCTGTGGATGGGTGCAGCGCAAGCCATTCATGGTCCATCTGTAGGCGCAGGCGTCTTGTGGCTGGCCACAGTAACAGGCAAATTCGAGACCGGATGCCGCCGACCATATATATATATATATAAAGTGAAATTCAGGCAAGAACACACACGAATATATGCATAAGTGGTTGGTGACGTGCGTTCCCACTTTTGTCGGCCAAAATGACTGCAAAAGGCTGCAGAACACCTGGGTCGACACAAACACAATGGGTGGCTTGCGCCGCACCACCTACACAACCTATATCCAGTGCGAACTTGAAGTAATAAGACTGGGGATATATATGGATGGGAGCCAGGAGTGCTTTATAGTCAATCCACAACCCTTCAACATGCACATCATGCATTCATTAGGACAGGGCGAAATATGTTTGCCAGTAGTACACAGGGTGGTGGTTAGACCATGCTGGGGGGAACTGCTCATTGAGCCCAACATTGTCACAATAACCGCGCAACAACTCTTCCTCATTACTGAGCAACAGCCTCCCGGAACCAATGGAACAGTGGATTTATCACGGATATAGAAGCAAATGCTTAACAGTTTTCCGTAAGTAAAGTGTGAGATCAACAATTGACGTAGCAATATAAAAACGCGTGGTAGTGGAGTTACCGCGAACTTCAAGTGTACTCGTTAGTAGCAGGATTTTAGTTGTAAATCTGATAAGGCTTTCATCCCAACAGTTCACAAGCTACATAGCAGAGCCTATTTCGGAAAAGCGCCAGACGCGTTTCGCCCTATTGGGGCTCATCAGTGGCGCGCATTCCCTCGGTCCTATAAGGAGGATCGAACCCATGACCGCTAGAGGCAGATGCCAACTAGCCAGCAGCTTAAGCCACTGAGCCATGGGGGGACGTTGGCTGGGCTACATAATTTGCAAACTAGCTGGGATATAGCACCACCTATCTACCACTGTCACTGATAGTGGTTAGCCTGCAAGGTGATGACGTCCTCACACTGGACGCTATATCTATAGCGTTTGAAACTAGGAGAGGCTCAGTGGCTTAAGCTGCTGGATAGTTGGCACCTGCCTCTAGCGGTCATGGGTTCGATCCTCCTTAGAGGACCGAGGAAATTTCAAGTGTGCACACTATTGGTTACGTTGTCGTGTGTCCCAGTAAATTGGCTTAACTTCTGTAATGCAAGTGGTGTAGTGCATTATCGTTGAGTTTTAAATTCGGACAACATAGGATGAGATATGACAAATAGCGGAAGAAAGTTCCACGGTTGGGCTACAGGAGAGAAGAAAAAGTTCCGGCGGCATTTCAACCGGCTATACTGTGCCACCAACTTCAGATTACCCCTTAGTGAGCTGTTGTGACTGGATTTCAATAAGCGTCGGCATGGATGGTTAGAGTCGTTAAGAATCTGATACACAAATATGACATCGCCTCTCAGAAGATGATATTGTTCATTAAAAACATCTGGCGTCCTTAGTTCCAATAGGTGAGGGAGGTAGAGCAGTCCCTTCCCAATTATTGTCGCCCTCCGTTGTGGCTTCTCAAGAGCAATAAGGTAATGTTTCTGCCATGACTAGCAAGTACAGGAAGTAGAGTAATCGGGCACTAGTTGGCGTGCGCTGCACGAATGACTCCCTTGTAAATGGGAGTGACTATTCCACGATTCCACATTGCTGGGACCTGCGTCGAGAGAGTTGAAAAATCTGAGATAATGGTTCAGCCAAGCTCGTGGCAGCTACCATCAAGGACTTGGGACGTATGCTACCGGACTAGGTGAACTGTACTCGCGCATTGTCATCCTTCGTTTCAGCAAATCCGCGGCTGTAAAGGATATGCGGCTAAGTCCTGGCGATTATGTGATATGTATGAGAATGATATGAGACGGCGATGCATTCTGGAGTTGGCCGATGGCCGAGTGGCCTGCGCGCCTGGTTTGCAACCATAATGTCTCAGCCTCTAATTCGCGTAAGAGTGGGCGTCCTCGTGGTATACTCAGCCCCTGCGTGACTGGTGGTGGTCGTGAGGTAGCAAAGTGCCGTTACGGCGCACAAGTCAAGTTAAGTCAAAAGATGGTAAGTTGCTGGTGAGTCTGAACTACGTCGCTATCAAAGCGAGAGCCACCATCGTACGTTACAGCTCGTTTGCTCTGTGTTCAAACAACGCGCAACCCTCGGCAAACCACAGCATCCGGATGATAGTCTCACGCACTCGGGTTCGCGTCCTGAAACGTTGGATGTTCAGCACATTATCATCGATACGGTGTCGAGACAGACGCCATAATCACAAACATTGAAAGCACTAGACATTATGAAAGAGATAATACTGTACTAGGTATGTGGTAACTGAGCTTCGCTTCGCACCACTGAAAAAGTTAGCTACGGCTCGTCCGCATAGTTTCACCTTCACACGCAAGGCATTAAATATAACTAATAAAATTACTCGAGCAACCAAATTTACTCGAAACCGTACAGCGTGTCTCGCGGTTCACCATGTTAAATGCTTAGTTGAGGTCGACAAACATCGTGTAAAATGATTGGTTTCACTTGGGGTAGCTATCCTGTGATTGATGAACTGCGGATGCCATATTTATCTTGCTGGGGCTCGAACGGAATCTGCTTTGCTCCTCAGCCACACTTGATACAACCACCGGAGTGATGAAGCGGTTGAACAGGATTCGAGCTATCATTTTCCCGACACAACAGTAAGTTGATGCCTTAATAATTGCTGGTACATTGCTTGTTACCTTTTGTTGCTACAGAACAAGGGCATCACTCAGGTTAGCTGGCACCTGTTATTCAAACCAAACACGTTCCACCAAGTGATGCAGCACATGTGGCTTCGCACCGCCGTCATTCTTTAACACTTCTGGCAGTATTCCATGGACACAGGAACATTTACCATTTAGTAGCTAAGCGAGTGTTCCATCCGATTCATAGAGTGTCAGGGTATCGGCAAGGTCATCCCTCATATTTCGTTGCTGAAACACATGAAAGTTCGCTCACTCAATAGCTGAACAGTTCAAGGAGCAAACGAAGTGCTTTCGGATATCTGCATTACATCTGCAGTTGGTGTGTAGACAGAATTTGAAGTAGTGTCCAACAGGTGCTGCAAGTTGGGTCCATTCACCGCCTTCATGGTGTCATGGACTCCTCATATGGGTGGCATTCGGAGAAGCATTCCATTTGCTTCATCTCCTCTGTCGACCACGCATTCTTGATAGACCGTAGATTCGGGGTCAATCGTCTACGAATTTCGCGCAACTTACCCCTCTTTTCTGAGTTGCCGGTTTCCTGCATTTATACAGCAAGAGCTACATTCTTCGCCAAATCCAAATCCGTCCATAGTCGCACGGCTGTCACCAAACTAATCGAGCGGCTTACAGTTTGCGTGCTCCATCGTCTCCTCTGGCCGAAACGATCACATGTTTCTTGAGGTGGTACCATATGTTACTAAATGAAGTATTCTCCAGTTCGCAATTCTTCTCACCAGTATCTAGAGCACGAATATCAACGGTCCGCCAGTTTGTGGAAAAGAAATAGTACATGGTTTAACGAAAGTAGATACAAAGTTTGATTCTCACCAACTTATGACCGGTTCCACACTCAGCTCCACTCAGTACACTGGTCCAGTGCGATTCACAAATGTATGACTAAATCGTCGAGCGGGTGAGCGTGACCATGCCGTGGGCGCACCCAATAAGCAACATCACTCGTACCCAGTGGGAACTGTTTGTTATCGTCATGCCGTAAGTGGCGCATAATGACTACAGCCAATTATCGGTCCTATTGACTAAATTATTATAAAGTGCCCTGATTACGCTTGTCCACACTGCGGCATCACGCCCAACGTGCGTGTTGAGATCACGCAGAATGAATAGCCGGCCGCTCCTCAGCATGGACCGTAGCTGATTATTTGTATCATCAGGATAACACATGGCGGAAACACACGTTCTAATAGAGTTGCAAACCTATCTCGTCCGAGGCATGATCGAAGTGTCATCAACGGCGGGTTAATGCCAGTCGGACCTACCATTAAGTGGAAATTTAGGCAGTCAGATGGTGGAGGGGTGGTGGCGTTTTGTATCCAGTAGAACGTATAGCCAGCACCATCCTCGTGCAGCTTATCTTGGTCAACCAGCCGAGCCAACTCTTCCAAGCGCACGAACTAATTCCGTCAACGTTCTATACAACATGAGCAAAGAATTCAGTTATACTTCATATTTGAGCTGCACTTTCGGCATGTGGTTCAAACGCTGTCAGGATGACTCACAGAAAGTGCGGCTCCTGCTTCGAAAAGTCGCGAGAAATGAACACAAGGTTTCTAGATCAGACTTTACCAAAAAATTCAATGAAGAGTAGTGCTTTTGCTTTCGCTTCCCTCTGCCTGGCTTTCCAATCGTACGGGAAAAAAAGCAAACAGACAAGACATGGTTGACGATGTATATACTGCAGTGAAAGATGAAATTACGTACACTCCAAACTGGGTCATCCAGTCACCTGGAGCTTGGCGTCATCCGTAGTGGAAGCGTTCTGCTTGGCTATATTGTTCAGGTGTACTATGTTCGGCCGTCCGCTTGTGTCCAGTCACAGAACCACCCACATTGTCAGAGCGCACGGGATTTCGCCAGTTGTTCATAAGTCTCCTGATGACTGCCGAGTTTCGTCAGCTTCGCACGTGACTCAGCACAGAGCAGTCCATGCGGTTAGCTTGGCCCCCGCATAGGTATTCATCCCGTTTGTCCGCCTATTTGAGCTTGGCTGTCACCTGTGCAGTTTGAATCGCCGCATGGCGACAGTATTGTTGGGCCTGCTAGATAGGCGAGTTCAGACGAGCAATGAACAATGAATTTATACGGGTTAAGAAGAGTTGCTTTACAAGTCCCGTTGGATAGTTGGTGGGGATTTCAACATAACAATAATGATGATAAGGGTAGTAAAATAGTTCATACTTTAAACACCAAAATAAGGACTTATCGTTTGCTCCGTTGTAGTCCTGCTATCTCCTTAGATTCATAGCGCCCCCAGTTAACAACAAATAATTCCATGGCATACTCCAGGTGTAGGATGGAGACATAGTCGTAAGTAACCAAGTGTAAGTGGATGAGTGCGTCTTCCAACCGTCTTTTAAATACCGTTAGTGTCGGTGCAGAGACGACCGCTTCTGGGAGAGTATTTCACGGATGACAGATACGAATGGAAAAGACATTTCTGCGACATTCCAGACCACTGTATTGTTCTGCAAGTTTTAATGAATGGCCCCTCAGGTTTGTATTGCTGCTGAGTTGCAGTAAAGGGCGGCACACATGATGTTGTTCTCACAGAATCAAGTATGCCATAATCAGGTCGCCTCGTAGTCTGCGATAGCTTCCACTGAATATCCCCATTCGTTGCAGCCTCTCCTGGTATGAGAGACTGCGTATTCCAATTACGTTCTTAGATGCCCGACATTGTGTCTGTTTCATTACGCAAAGGTCGTATTTCAGCCATGGATGCCAGGCTTGAATTGCGTATTCGACATGGGGGCGAACATACACACTGAGCATTTGTGGAAATATGTAGCTGTTTATTTGTCCAAACGCCAAACAATGCTCAACTTCGGCGGAACTATGTGAGCTCCGCAGCAGAACAGTGTAGCTATATAAAGTCGAACCTGTCCAAGAGGACGGACTGTCTATGGGACCGACAATAACTGGTCGCCATAGACAAGTGATCGCCATAGCAGGTCAGACTGTATCTTCCCACGACTGCACTGATCTCATCAAGTCTAGGTGTATGGGAGTAAAGCAGAGACAGGGTAAGTTTGTCAAAATTACCCTTCATCATATACATTAAGGGAGAAAATCACTCGTGAGGCAGGCGCGCCGAAAGTATATAGACGTGAAAGGTATAGAAGTCGAGTTGAGACTAAATGGTAGAAAAGTGAAATTACATACTTTTGATACTCCAGCTATCTTAACTCCTTTTTCTTTACTTCCAGTATATTGTCGAGTAACACCCCCGTGGGCAATAAGGAACAACAGATACAATGGAGCCTGGAACAAGTGGCACAGACACGTGATCAATGGAGTCAAATGGTTTTCCATGGATGTCACAAATTGCTGGAGCAGCGGACGCCTCTACCACAGCGAATCCGCCACATCGTAACGTCATCGTTGAACTGAGAATTTATGTCAAAGAAGCATAACCAAATGCAAAGGTTTTTGAGTTTTTCTGTGCATACTCAACAACAACGGCAACAACAGTAATAAATCAGCCTTACAAACACAACGGCCTAAGGGACGTAGCGTAAAAGCTCGATTCCCTAAGCAAACATTCAGGACAATGGTGCCTAGCATTTGTCAACAACATCCTGTCACAAACAGTTGGCTATGGTACAAAGGTAGAGCGGTATCGGCGAGATAGCTTCTTTGCGGCTTGCAATACCTCTTGTCTTAATCAGCCAGTACCTCGAAGACAACTCAGCATCGAACACGTTTCAAACAGGTACTTCGACTAGGTGACGAGAGCAGACAATCCGACGGTGCCGACTGCCAGCCATGTCTTGGGGAGTTTCGAGCCAAGCACAATGCGAGTCACATGGACTCCAGCCTAGAAGACGAGACGGACCAACAGCACGCAGTTTTGCAGTCAGTGACTTCATTTCCCCCTACAAATTTAAATTTTGCCAATCTCGGGCCTTGAGCCACCCTACATCTGGGAAACAAAACAAGAACACTCATTAGTAACATGTGCCTAAGCAAACACAATTTATTCAGTACTATCGATTGTTGTCAGGAACAAGCATGATTAGCACTATCTAACACTGACTGTGTATATCCCCATTACGGACATGCTGGTGTTATCCGACACCAACGATCCTTCAAATACAGAGACGATCCAAGGCTTGAAAGTGCCTCAGAGCGAAGGGGCCAAGTCTCACTCCCATAGAGTAGGACAGCCCTCACTGGGATTTTGTAAACACGGGCATTCAGACCGAGGGAAACCCCTTTCTGATGCCACCGATTTAAGAAAGTAGCTCTAGCTCCTGCACCGCGTGAAGTGACTTCAGTTGCTATGCGCCCACTGTTGCGGATGCAGCTGCCGAGGTAAATGTATTGATCAACTATCTCAAGTTCTCACTTATCAAGGCTTAGTGGAGCATCAAGTGGCTAGTTTTCTTAAAACACCGCTTTGAAGCTGTGAAGTGCATGACAAAAGATGGGACCACACGAATGAGATTATTCAGGGTTAACTGGGCCGCCCCAGCTTCGGTAAACACCAAGGCTATATCGTCCGCATAATCAAGATCAACAAGTTTACCACTGCGCATATGCTGTACTACTAGAACCTACGAACTGCTGAACGCGTAAATGAGCAGTGCACGCTGGCTTAGGGCCGCTGTACTGACTGTCAGTTACACCGTTTAATGTTGAAACGACTGCGGAAGAAGTAACTTATAGACTGCGCTGTTACGAAATCCACATAGGAATAAGTTTGACAAAACATTTGCAAGATTATTCTTTTTGACTTGTGTGTCCGTAGAGGTGAGGTACCAGTACTCGTGCATCACACAGTGTAGATGGTGGACTAAATTTGAGGGATCTGCAGCTTTGATGTGAACGAGTTGAACGAAATCAATTGAGAGCCACAACGTGCGCCCGTACACCAACTAGGCAGCCGACACCTGATCTGTGCATCGTTCGATAACCAGCTAAAACCAGTGGAAATATCTTAGTCCAACAAGTCGTGAAGGAAATGAATAGCAGTTTTGAGCTAATGACGAAGAAGACCCGGTGATCCCTTTGTTACCGGGTAACATGGATTGTAATCGCAATTTTATCCAACGCACCGCGACCTGCCGTAAGAATTGACGGCGGCCCAGCGAGCTAAAAGATTACGCGCTACACTCGGCAGGAGACAATGGCATGGAGTAGCAAGCGGAAGAGCCGATACATGATACCAGATACACCCACCCACTACATACGTTCGATCACCGATGCCTTCGCAGTTTTGCTCATATCTGTTGGGAACAGCGCGTGAGCAATGAAGAGGAAGTTAGCCGCTCAATACCGTTATTTTACGAACCAGGCTCCGATGGCTGTACCACCTATTGCGTATGCCAGCCCACCGACTTTCACGACTTGCGTTTACGAGCCGGGTATGTAGATGGAAGAATAGGAAGGCTAGCCAGGAAATGAGTTAGTCAAAAGGGGTGAAGACCCTTATTTCCAAGCTGGTTTCGGTTGGAACCTCTTGGCTCCCTGGTTGAGGTTCGAAAGACGATGAACAAGTTTGGATGGATACACTTGCTGACCTGGCTAGGAGGCGACCTCAGTGACGTTGGGGTTGTGAGTTTTCTTGTCTCTCTTCCTCCCGCTTAGCCTCCCTCCAAACACGATCTCTTTTCTTGGGCATGATATAATTTTTTGAGACACATTAGCCGGCTGTTGGTTCTCCGGAACGAAGCTCATCCGTTACTGGTGGGTCAGCTGACGTGCGTTTGTTGAGTGTTTTGCAGTACAATGGTTGAGGTGTTTTCCACATCTAGCGAATGCGAATATTTATACTCAACGGCGACACCTACTACATGTTAATAGCGGACGGACGCCACCAACAAGTATGCACTCGAAACGAGCGTCAGGGATGTCTATCCATTGCGGTTCACTTTTGAGAGTGGAATAGAGTGGGAAATGCTCACCATGGCTTGCACTTCATAGTGCAGCGCTGGTCTCACAAAACGATTAGAAATAATTTCGCAAGTTCTATGGAAGCCAAGATGTCATAGATCGTGCAACGAATCAAAAGTAACTGCTCGATAAGCTGGCGATAATAAAATCTGCGGTTTTTTTGAAGCAACCTGGTGCTATATAAAAACGGGACGGTTTATCAACTGAGTTAACTTTCTGATGAAAACTCATCACAACCATAATCTGCCAGTGTCACGGAGGCGAAACGGCTGATTACGATGGTGCACTCTAGCAGGGCGCGATTAGCCAGTCCACGTGAGCGGCTGACAGACTTGTTGCCATGGTCAAACCATGCGCTGATGAAATCAGTCCGTCAGCAAGACACGGGTTGCTATGTGTCAGGCGTGAGTGAGCGCGTATGCAGCTGCCGAGTGCGGACCGCAAGAAGGTTTGGAATCTGTCCAAGCAAGTGACGTGAGTCAGCTCAGGAACTTACAACTGGAGGTGATAGAAGGTGACCTATAAAACAAACCGTGTTTTGTACTTGATACATCGGTCTAGCAGGCTTCGGTGTTTTGTTTCTTCTCCGGTTGGATTAGCGGCACAGAGAGCAAAGGCTAGAGCAGCGTTACAACAGTCAGACAGCCCCGCTACACATCCAGGAAATACAACTAGACAGTCGTTTCACCTAAGTGTGATGCTGTGTCAAATCCCCATGGAAAACTCAATCCAAGTCCCACCTTCCGCTAAAGATGGACTTTGTCTACAGATCGCGAAATCGCAACAGAAGCTCCATTGGGTCAGATGGTAAATAGACCTTCCTAATGTAAAGAGCCTACTGGGCATCAACGAGATGGGTGAAAATCGAAGCCCGCAGTGTCGCTGACGTCTACACCAAATTGGTAATATTAAACTTTGAAAATAAACGTAAGCGGGAAGATTAGAATATCCAAATGAGGCAGCGAACTGCTGACGTCCAACTGACATACTCTACGCTCCCCAGATGTTCCCAGCCAAAGCTAGCCAAGGAGAAATATTTAATAAAGGTGAGCATTCGGTCAGCACACTGAGCACTAACGCAGATGGCGATTTTCCCAATATGGTGAATTCTAGAGACTGATGGTCTGTCTGAGAGTTAACGGCGTGAAGGTCAGTGCGATGGTATAATTTAGTGACTGTGATGGTTCGAAGACAGAAGGGTAGAGAACCGGTGAACTATTGGAGGACAATTTAGTTCGCAAATGTAAAGTAGCCCGGCCTCATCAAATGGGTAAATTGGAAGCGATACTAATTAGCACAATAAGGCTGAATTTCGAATGGGGATGGATGATCCTCATCTGGACATAGAATTAGGCTACAATAGTTTGGGTAGTGAACAAAAACACTGGGAAAGGGAGGAGAGATGGCCTTGTTGGTGTGCCAAACAGTGCCCAACCGTACGTCATTCCGACAAGATGCACGAGTTGAGGATTGGTAAGTCTGGGACCATAAGTGCAACCGCAGCTGATTGACTGATTTCCGTGAATTGTATGTGTTGTATCAGAAGAAGGTAGATGTAACAGAAGTATATTGTAAGAGGCACGTAGAACGTACAACTGCTACGAGTTGCTGCAGCGTCGCGTCACTTTCATTCTCGGTTTGTAGTTCATTGATCGTCAGGGCGGACAAACCGGATCCAAGACTAGACACCATTGCTGCCTCTCTGAGCAATTCTATTCCATCCTCCAGTTCCAAATGTAAACGTGATAATCCATCCGCGATCTGATTATGCCATCCTGGCCGGTAAACAATACTGAAATCATAATTGAGAAGCCCGGGGTATGGACGATTGATTCGCATCGGGCGGAACTCTTTAGATCCATTCTTGAAGAGGGTGGTGAGAGCGCAGTGGTCAGTTCGTAAGCTGAAATGGCGGCCAAATAGCTGACAATGTCATCTCTCGCAAGGCCACACACAAGCGAGAGCTTTCTTTTCGCCGGCGGAGTAGTGAGGTTCAGAGTCTCATAACTTCCGTGAAGCATAGTCATTAACTTTCTCTTCACCACTTCGTAGTTGAAAAAGCACGGCACTGAGTCCAACATCGGAGGCATCAGTTGACACAAATATACGGCATGATTCGTCAAAGATGGCAACCAATGGGCAAAGGAAATCCATGGTTTAATTTCGTCAAGGGCATTTTGTTGTTCAGTGCCCAAAACAAAAGGTGACCGCTTCTTTTTCAGTTTCTGTAGTGGATTTGCCACGGTTGCAAAAGCACGAACATATAGCAAGTTGTAAGAGTACATACGTAGAAAAGACTTTGGTTCCGTTAACTTACTAGGTATCTGCGAGTCAGCCATGGCACAGATATTTTCGATACTGGGGGGAATACCGCCGCGGAAAATAATGTGTCTAAAAAATGAATCTCAGAGGTGTTGAATATGCACTTTTCGTGTTCAGGCGGAGCTGGAGTACACTGAGTCGATGAAGGACTTTATGTAAGCGCTGGTCATGCT